CATTAAACTGATTCCAAGCTGTGGTTTTACATGTAGGGCAGGAAGTGTCTCCCTGTCTAAATGGGCAGTTCTTTGCCAGAATAGTCAAAAGTCTGACTGCAGACTATATTACCAGTAAAGTTCACTCTAGTGCTGGTGGCTATACGTGGTCAGTTCTTGAAAACGGCAGGAAATGTAATTATCTAATGTAAACAATTATAGATCATAGTAGATGTTCTGCCCACACAAACACAGAGCCATTAGGTTCACATTGCCCTGCAGAACAAGAACGTGCGTGTGTTGGTTATTTCCTGGGTCGTGGGCCTTCCTCATAATTTCTCCAGTGTCTCTTCGGTTTGCTTATTGCTTTGTCCTCCCCTCTCTCTCTCCCTCTCTCGTTTCTGGGTTTATTAGCACATTATCTCCCTTGGAGGCTCTGTATACCACAGACTCCCACAGCCCAGTCAGATCATTTTAGCCCTTTATTTGTGTTTGGAGGACTGACAGCAGTTGCATCGGCAGATCATTCTGTCTGTTTACTGACTGCATGCGTGTGGAAATATACAGATATATTGAGCCTGTCATGGGTGCATGGGGTATATGTATGTAATCTAGTTGCAACTTTTTGCAGTTGAATACAGTTTTTAATTTTATTGATTGTGAGGCAGCTCGACTTTGTAAAAATCAAAATGTATTTATTTATGATTACTTTCTTGCTTTCATATTTGATAATTGCAAACCAATTATATAAACCAATTATGTTTCCGGAATCTGGATTTATGGATGAGCAATTACTGGAATGAAAACAGTTTGTGTAGTGATGTTATCATGAAATTAAATAAATCTCAAAATTTATTCATATTTTTAATATTTATATATGATAATTATTTTAAAATAACACTAAAACACCATAAAACACTAATGTTGCTTTAAACTAAAAGAAAAAGATATATATATATATATATATATATATATATATATACTGTATATGGAAGCAAAAAATTATAGTATCTCAGTGATTCTTAAATAACTCACAATGTGGATGTTTCTCCATATTGTACAGAAGTAAATTGTGGATTGTTGTTACTATAGACATTTGTGGTTGTTTATTTCTTTCACAAATGTAGATTGGAAGGTATGGTTACCATAGTAACATGTCTGGTATAATAGTATTAGGAAGTGAGATCATATTTTTTGCACTTGAACCTCTAATAATAATTGTCTCAACGGATAGCAATCGGTAGCAAATAGCCGATAGCAAAGTGAAAAAAGGATCTATTTGCAGCCGTTTAAAGGTTTATGTAGAAAGAACTAGAAACAAAATACTATCAAACAAGAACAAAACAACCAGGTGTAACGCAATGAGAACTGAACTGAATAAAACACAGAGTTTAAAGGAATAGTTCACCCAAAAATAGTTTGTTTATAACTATAGTTGACTCACCCTCAAGCCATCCTAGGTGTATATGACTTTCTTCTTTCAGCTGAACACAATCAGAGTTATATTGAATAAAGCCTGGCTCACACTACAGGAGTTTTAGGCCGATTTATGCCCGATTTTCCCCTCACGAGAATCGGAGAAAAAATCTTGTTGATTACCTCGATCGGTTCCGATCGATCTGCTCTCACACAAATCGGGCTCGCTCCGATCATATCAAACATGTTTGGTATTTATCGGGATGAGCAAGATTGTGATTAACGTCAGTACTGTCTAGCCATAAGAAACAGGCTGTTGTGGTGAAGGAATGTCCACTGTTGTAATTTTGAGTGACTCAACAGCGCGATATGCAGTATTATCTTCATTTAATAGCAGGCACGAAGACAAGTATATGTCCCGTAATAAAAACCGAAACTAAATAGCGCATTGAAGTTGAGTAAACAGAAGATACAATGTCAAAATAAGGGTCCATATACAGTAATATAATAACAGAACATAAACCTGACAATATGCTTTTTATGCCATTATAATATAACAGTTAGTTTCTATCCTCGAATCTCACTTTAAAGGCTTCCTGCTGATATTTTACCACTTGGCATTGCTCGTCTCTGCGTGTTAGACAGGCTGTCGCTCAGTCCAGTTACATTGTTTCACATCATTTTACATTAAGGTACTGTCTTTGAGTGAGTCATTAAACTGTTCATTCAACGGAAATGTAAAAAAAATCAGATTTTTTTCAAATATAGATGTAATGAAACAAGCTGTTATTTATTTTAATATTTCATTTTAACTTTGATCTCCACTTTACAAGGCTCAGCAGCATTGCGGTGCATGGGCAACGCGAAACTGATGCTTCACTTCATTGAGATCAATAGCATTTTTTCATTGTTCTGACCAGAGCTGACACCATTCATTAGAAATAGCCTAACCTTAAATGTTAAAAGGATGATTTAAAAAAAGTTCTCTTTCCTTGGTCACGGCAACCTTTTCACGAATATGACTTGATATGAGGGACAGCTTTTTTGTTTACATCCGCTTTTCTGCTTCCAATCTGCTACGTGAGATCACGTGTGCCACTTCCTCTGGCACAATAATCTTAATAACATTGTGTGTGATGCACCGCGATTTTCAAATCTTGTAGTGTGAGCATGTTTAAGATTTGAGGGAAGAAAATCTGCTAAGATTCTCTTTAAGTGTGAGCTGCATCCAGATTTCAAAATCTGTTAGGATTTTAAAACTCCTGTAGTGTGAGCCAGGCTTAATAAGCTGGCTCTTCCCATCTTTGTAATGGCGTTGAGTAGTGTGTTTTTGAAGCTCTGAAAAGCGCATTCTTCCATCATAAAAGTAATCCATACAACTCCATTGGGTTAAGACAAATTAGAAGTCTAAAATGAGACATTATCAACAAAATAGCCAACGCATTCTCACCCCAAGGCGTCACCTTTGACCATGCTTCAATATTTGACGTTTTAGGCGCCCTTTAGCGTCACGTACATGACGCGATCCTACGGCGTCATCTAACTGACGCTAAAGGAAAGCGTCTGTTAGTGGACGCGGTTAGGTTTAGGTGTGGGGTGGGGGTAGGGTACACGCGATCCTAGGGCGTCATCTAACTGACGCTAAAGGGCGCCTAAAGCGTCAGATATTGAAGCATGTCCAAATGCTTCCCAAGGCGTCAGTTAAGTGACGCCTTGGGGGTGAGAATGGGCTGAAATAGCGGAGGATTTTGAGATAAAAGAAGAGGAGCAACATCCTACATCATACTTCGGGGTCCGAACTCGACTCTCTCTTGAACACGCATACAGCCGGTGCTGGAACCAGTGATTATATTTCATAAAGATTTAAATATGGATATTATTGGTACAAAAATTAATCTCTTTTCTTCAGAAGTCATTTATTAAGCTACTAGAGTCGTTTGATTACTTTTATGATGGATGAATGAATGAACAAACGAAAGAATAAATGAACTTCTTGGAGCTTCAAAAACTTGGGCACTATTCAGTGCCATTACAAAGCTGGGACTAGCCAGGATATTATTTAATATGACTCGGCAGTGTTGTAGTCGAGACCACCTCATTCAAGTCTGAGTTCGACACCGAGTCCATAGAGAGTCGAGTCCGAGACCAGAGACGGTCGAGTCTGAGTCGAGACCGAGACCAGTGAGGGTTGATTACCTAATTTACTTTTATTTACTTCGAGAAATCCTTTTTTTTTTTACTGAATTTACTTAGAGTTTAAAAAATATGATCAGTTTAGGGTAAAAAGGCCACATAGTAGGTGGTGTTAAAAGTAATTTTATTACAATTTGTCATGCGCAGTTGCGCACTAGAAAATCACCAATCACTGGGCGTGTCAATCAATTTAAAGAAAATATTTTATTAACATACATTAATAATTATGAAAAATATTTTTAATTGAACTCGAGTGGACTCGGGAATAATTCAGAGTCGTAAAAAAAAAATGTTCGAGTACGAGTCAATTCCGAGTCCAAATGGACACGAGTCCATGACAAGACCAAGACCATTAAAATATGGTCTCGAGACCGAGTCCGAGACGAGTCCGAGTCTCGAGTACTACAACACTGTGACTCGGGTTGTGTTCGGCTAATAGAAGAAAGTCATATAGTATATGTTCTTATGGCTTGAGGGTGAGTAAATTATGGGATAATTTTCATTTTTGGGTGAACTAGCCATACAATTAAATAGACAGACCAAACCAATCAATGAAATGAAAAACACGTGTGCAAATGAATCAAACAATTAATACCCAAGATTACTAAGGTGCTGTACGACACAGTTTTCAACTAAAAACGTACGACTTTTTGTGTGTTTTGGCATTTCGTTTACACTTCACCAGCGTTATGGGTGAAAATGGGTTTGAAAGTGCGATTTTTCGAAAACGGTCTCTGTGTAAACAAAACCACGAATCTCGGAAGATGATGATGTCATAGACGTGTGTTCAGTCTAAAGCGTTTCATCGCCATCTAATGGCCAAGCAGCAGAATACAGCATTTTTTGTCGTTTTCGCAGATCCGTGTGAATGGGGATCGTTTTGATGATGTCGTCTGTACGCGGAAAACTCATAGGAAAAACGAATCAGTTTTAAGCATATCGTTTTCATGCAAACGCACCCTCAGTGAAAACACAGGGAACTGAACTAAACTAGTGCAAACCTAACCAGACATACAAAGAACACAGATACACCCTGATAATTATACTAATAACTATAGAGTTTCTTGCACTTATACAATAAGAATATCAAAAATATTCATTAAACCCCTAATAATACTGACAAAATCAGTTAGGCTTCATGTTTGAATTTCTAATAATGCTTCTGGAAAAGGTTTCTTTGCAGTCTCTAATGTTATACTAAAACATGTCACCATCTGGTACAAATAAATGTCTGCGGCAGAATATAACTGTCTGGTTTTGTATCTGTGAGACACTACTTGCTTGATTTTCATTTAAACTGTTTGCTGCTAGATAAAATGTACTACTTTTACTGATTAAATAATTATTTCTGATCACAATTACAGAAAAGGTGTACTTGTGGTGTTCTCACTCAAATTTTTTCCTGATTCCAGAATCTTCCTCCTTGGGAAACGTCTTAATGGACACAACAGCAACACGCACCACAACTCGCCCTGTTACCGTCACCATGACGACCACTTCCACCACCACCACAACCACCACCACAACCAAATCGCCCGGCACGACGACAACGGCGCCGGTCACACGGAGCACAACGTCAGACCGCCAGCCTCTTCCAGAGGCCTCAATGCGCTCCGTCCCTTCCTCTGTCCTGCCAAATATCGCTGTGGAGTTCTGCAGCCCCATCACCGACTCCACCCTCACCTGGCCCAAAACACGACAGGGTCAGGTTGCCAAGCAGCCGTGCCCGCCTGGAACCATCGGTAAGTTGCTTTTCAAGGAGTCACCTAGCAACAATCCTGTTTCTATTTTTTTTCTTGACTTAAATAGCTTGAATGTAATGCTACAGCCTTGCTTAATGCACTAAATGCAGTATACGCTCATCAATGAATATGCAAATTAGGCTATGTTCACACTGTCAGTCAAAATTTTGGTTTGATCCTAAATTTTGTTATAGTTTACTTTTTGCAATGGTTGCCGTTTTCTGCAATTTATATATATATAGTGTTGTTTTTGGTGAATTGCATTAAAACTGTTAGGGGTTGTTTGACCTGCAATAGGTGGTTTGCAGTCACGTGATTGTATTGACGCGCGGAACGCAGATGGAGGGCAAGGAGTGAAGAGCGCAATGGACGAGATGGAGGAAAATCCGTACTGTACTACTTTAGACGCTATTACACGAGAAATATATAAACAGAAAATCGAAACATATGTTGGACGTGATCCTTACGTTATGAACAGGACCGTTTTTCAACTGAATTGAGAGATTTGCCTGCCATCGAGGCTGTATATCAGCAACTAACTCGTCTTACAGACATACTTTGACTTTACAAAGTTCGGAAACTGCTATGTTACACAAACAGCCACATAAGTGTATTTAAACACCTGAATAATGTAATTATAAGCCACATAAATATTAACTCACAGTTGACGAAGTGATCACTGCGCACACACACACAGGCATTTTCCCATTCGGCTCCTCCCGACCGCAGACGTAGGTTTATAAGGCATTTTCCTGGTGTCTTTCTGTCAATTTCTTGTACTTTCCTCCCTTATGAACAACAACTTTTGTCACACGATAAAAACTCCTCGTGGTTTGATCGATTTGAGCAACCATAAACGACGCAAAACATAGGCATTTTGAGTGTGTTAAAGTGCTTCCTAAATCTAGAAATCACTTCCTGCCCTCCATTTGCGCTTCGCGCCATGGCAACGCAGTTGCGTGACGTCACATGAAAACAAGCTATTGTAATAATTAATGATAATTGTTGTTATTATTTCACAAAAACAGTCAATATTGTCCCCTGTTTTTTTTAATTCATAGATATGCATTTACATTTAATCATTTAGCAGATGCTTTTATGCAAAGTGAATTACTGATGATGAGAACAACCAACAATAGTGGACCAACAGTAGCACAGTACCTTATTTATGCATTTATTTTTAACCCTTATGTTGTGTTCAGGTCATTTTGACCCAGAAATAATGTTTTTTTTTTTCCTGAAAATGTTAGTTAATATTATTATAATGGACTAAAACTTACTGACTTCGCTCACACAGAGTAGGTACAACTACTACCCAAAATTGTGGAGTGTAATTTGTGTACGTTTTTTTAGGATTTTTTTATTGTTTTTCTCACAAAAAAGCACTTTTTTGGTGTTCCTGATCAGAATTCAAGCTATAAATCGCTCGCTACGCCACACCATCACCAAATATTAGACTCAATCCCCCCGCCAACTAGGGATGGGTATCGTTAAGTTTTTATCGGTATTACTACTCTTACCGATACCGCGTATCGATCCGGTACTTTAACGGTATTCTTATCGGTTCTTTTTGGTGTTTTTTATTTTTTTTTTAAATTATTATTATTTTTTTTTTAAGAATTAAGAACATAATTAAACTTTATATTTTGAAATGTAAAATAGAAAAAGCAAAACGAAGAAAAATATCTTTTTTGTTATGCAGCAGTGTGGAGGCTTTTTTTTTTTGTTTATACAAAAAGGACACATAAGAAAAAAAACAAGTACAAACACAAGAATACAATTAATCAAAGATACAAATTATATACTAACATATCTTTTCAGGTAATTGTTTCTGTCTGAAAAGAAACATAGTAATCAAATAAAAAATAGCACTGTATAGTTTATCATAGTTAGAATAATGCTTATTAAATCTAAAGTTGCTCATTCAAAAGCTGTGAGTGATTTTCTCTGCCTTTTGTTGTTTGATTTGCATTAATGGCTGAATCGTCAACAGGTTTAGGCTATTAGACCGCTGCCCCTTTAAGACCGAGTGCAGATCTAATGGGGACTGATGCACCATCATTTTCTCCCTATTATTTAGGTCCATTTAAGACATAATTGTGTTTAAGTGAATAAACTGTGTTTAAGTAAATCTCAGAGCTGGTCATTTTGACATTTGTATGTATATTTGATAGTTAAGGACACACGAAGCCCAAGTATAGGCTACTTTTCTTGTCTCGCTGCAGTCCGTTTCGGAGCGTGCACCGCCTTGTGAACAGCGTCTCTTAGGTTTTTGTGTTTTTAATAGCCATTTTTTTTATCTTGCAACAGTAGAAGACAGCATTTTGCAACAATCACCGATCGTGCTGATTCTGACGGTTACGTTTGGGTTTTAGGAAAACTGACAGCGCTCTGCAGTGCTGTGAAGTAACGTTAAAGGAAGTTAAGGTGGACAGATCATCTCGTTTTTTAACGGTTTTATCTCAAATATCTTCTTTTTATAATCTTTGGAAGCCGAAATACAAAATATATTAGAATAATATCCCAGATCTAAAGTGTAACCACGTTGAATGTTTAGTTCTGTCCTCATTGTCACTCATTAAGCAGGGCTGTCGTGTTGCGCGTGCTGTGGCTTTTGCGTGAGAGATCGCTCTCTCTCTCTTCTGAACTGCGAATTGCAAATTTGCATCACAGACAAATGGTTTAATTAAAATATAGTTTATATATAGAAATGGCTGGCGATATAAACATGTTCAAGATAACGTCTTTATAGGAATAATAAATAATTTCTACAGTACCGACAGCCGAACCGATAACGTCCGAGCTTATCGATACAGCGGTCTTTCAAAATTCAGTACCGGGTCCCGTTTAATACCGGGTTTCGGTACCCATCCCTACCGCCAACCCATTCTCCCTCAACTAGGACCGGCGCTGCACCATCATAGATAATAACACGTGAGATTTCAATAATATTTTGACCTCTGAAGAAATCTGGTCACCTTAACCAAGAACATGCTAGCAATCATATAGTGACTCCTTGACCAGTTTTTACAAAGCAAATAAACTGATATGTTTCACACCTTGTTTTGGTAACCCGGATGTGTTTGGATTTTATCTTTTTTTTCTCAGTGGTTATTAGTTGATCTCTGGATGTGCAGCAGACACACAGCGTGAGCACAAATAACACAAAAGCAGCACATGCATCAAACACGCCACTGCTCGCCAAGAAACATCCTCCCTTCACTCTCTCTCGTTCTCTTTCTTTTTGTCATCTTCTTTCACCTCTGTCTGACACTCTGTTTCCTCTGGTTTTCCTTCCCTAAATTATATTTCCCCTCATTTCTCTTGCTGCATTCTGCTCACATCAAAACATTTCCAGTCTTCCCGACTGCAGACTGTCTGGTTTCCATGGTTTCGGGTGATTGGCAGTTTCTTCATGATTAGTTGTCTGTTCTTGAAGTTTTCAAAGTGCCAGACTGGAGCTGCACTTGGAGGATTTGTCCTCTGGACATTTAATGAGTAACACGTGTCACAATCACATCTTCCTAAACTCATTAATCAAAACAACTGCAACAAAAATACTAGCATTTTATTGATCTTTACAGAACAACAACAACAATATATGCACTACCGTTCAAAAGTTTGTGAGATTAATACTTTTATTCAGCAAGGATGATTTAAATTGATCGAAAGTGAGAGGAAACACTTTTATGTTAAACATTTTGATTTGCTTTTGTTCCTTTCTTGTAAGTCTCTTAATAAAAGCTTCTACTAAATTCATGTAAATTTAAAAGCAAATCCATAAATGTAAATGTGAAAAAAATAAACAATTATGTAACACAATTTGCATAAATCACTGTATATTGCATACATTTAAAAGTATATGCATAAATGAATAAATACATTCATGTATTGTAATATAATTACAAGCAAAAAAGTTATAATAAATGAAGAGTTCAGATGCAAAAGCCTCTAAATGCCATTTGAAATTTTCTTCTTTAATGATGATTTTTATCAAACTTGTATATTTAAGTTCAGTAATTTCACTTAAATAACAATTAATAGGTAATTATCATTGCCATTTAAGTGAAATCACTGAACTTAAATATACAAGCTTGATAAAAATCATCATTCTAGAAGAAAATTTCAATTGGCACTTAGAGGCTTTTGCATCTGAACTCTTCAAATGTAAATGTAAAAGCATTCTTAAAAAAATGAAAAAATTAAAATAATATAAAAGCAAAAAAAATGCAATGTAAAACAATTTTATTGCTCAAATCTTAAAGTAAATGCATAAATGTAAACCAGGTTATAATAAAATGTACAATAATTTGCTATTTTTACAAGGATTAATATATGAATGCAATGTTACTTTTATAATAAATATTCCCCTATATGTAGACTAATTGTCTTTTTTGGCAGAGATGGTTATCATATTAATAATTCATGTATTTCTTTATTGAGCATTAGTGTCTTTAATCAAATTTCTGTTGTCAGTGTTTTTGTTGGGTTTTGCAGCAGCAGGACATCTGGAGTGTGTGACTGTGTGTGTCTGTGAGTAATCGCACCTGAGTGCCGATAGAGTCACCCGAGTGGAAGAATATGACATTTTTTCCCCCGTTCTGTCCTTCTAATTAGAGCTGAGAATGAGATGTCTCCCTCCATGAGCATTAATTGACCTTTACCACTGCACTCTAGGGAACACACACACACACACACACACACACACACACACGCTGCAGTGATTTTATCTCCATAAGAGGAAGTAGTAATTACACATTCTTTTATGATCACAGACGTTTCATCACAGTGTTTCTTGTCATCCCTGGATAAGCGGTGAAGGACGGGACTCTTTTAATGTTAATATGCATGTGTTTGCGTTCCTATAACAAAGCATGATATGAAAACACAACAGAGATAGGCATAAATGGCTCATTTCTCTCTCTTTCAGGGACGACCATGTTTGCCTGCCAGGGGCCCGAGGGACTGTGGGACCAGCAGGGGCCCGACCTCAGCAACTGCACCTCCACATGGGTCAACATCATCAACCAGAAGGTTTAAGGAACACACACGCAATAATTAAAAAACAATTATTAGTCCAATTATGATTAATAACTGTTATTATTATTTATAATTTTGCCTTAGCGGTTTTGTATCCTTAAAACTGCGTCCCAATATCCTTATGGTTAAACTGAGTGTAAATAGATTTTTTTAAGCTTATAGCCTAGATGTTTACATCCCTGAGAAACTTTTATCTAAAATTATATGGTACACTGTATCTTTGGTACATAGTATCGCTCATGGATTTACTGGGAATCAAGTGACCCATGACCTTGGTATTGTTTATCGTCACGCTCTACTGTTTAAGCTACAGGAACACTAACACCTATTCTAACACCTTCAGTTTTGCTGACTGTCAGAAAGCATTTTCATGCAGCATTATCATTTTAGTAGATCAAGTTCATTCAGATGGTTCATGTAAATGAACCAGATAAAAAAACAACAACATTCAAATCAAAAGATTTTATTTTTTTAAGGCGATATGTGCAATTTGTCCTATGTAAAACACATTCTCTTACAGTATGCCAGCTTAAAGGACAACTCCGGCACAAAATGAAGCTTTGGTCTAATAACACATTGGTACCTAGTCGACCGTTCTCTTAGATTTATTTTCATGATAATCGAATGGAAAGAGTTTTATCTCTAAAAACTGTTTAGCGTATAACGTTAGTATATAGGGCATAGAGTAATAAAAAATAAAAATAGCTAGTTAATACCACTAACAAGGCTCAAATTAGTAGGGCTGTCAACTTTAGTCGTTTAGTCGACTAATCGGTCGATGCCTTCTTGGTCGACTGACATTCTTATTGGTCGACCAGTTGCATTTTTTTTTTTTTACCAATAGAAAGAATTTTTCAATGATTTACTCCTTGATATTTATTCCTTTATAAGCAGTTATGTATTACTGTATTCTAAATATAATTAGCCTATGTTTTGTCCCCAACTTTAAAATGCTTTAATTTTTGTAACTGCGCCACAGTTTAGCGCACACACATAATACACTCGGGAACCGCACTTGTGGCTGGCTGTGCTGCTGCTCGCGCTCGTTAAGGGATGCTGTATTCATTCAGTTAGAACGCTGCTTGTTTTGGCTTTAGTCGACAAAATGTCCAGGAAATCTAAATCGTTTGTCTGGCTGCATTTTAAAACAAAGACGACAAGACTGTGGAGGGAGGCGATCGCCTTGCTCCATTATGAGCGCGCAAGTCGCGCACCTCAATTTGAAATCGAACTTGAGCGCGCAAAAGACGTGAGCAGCCTTTTAACGGCTATATCATGCTGACTCAATAGATTGTGTTTTCTTAATGTTTTCGTTTTTATTTGTACACTTGACGCATTTGAAAATAGCCTAAATAATGCAACAAAACGAAAATAAACCTATACGCGGTCCTACAGCCTTATTTATTTGTGTTTTTTGTGTGTTGTTTAAAACGCCTTGATCGTCAGGACGAAAGTTAACCCATAGCTTTGAAAGTAAAGTAGAATATAAAGCCTGTAAACGAGAGCTTTTGTTGGGATTTTTCATTATGTGGCAGTTATATTTTTTTTTTTGCAGCGTGTGGTGTGGTCAGGTGCGCGATTGTGACTGTTACTATAGACCTAGGACAGAGCTCTTCACTTTTTGCAGTTTAAAAAAATCACTTAATTTTCAAAGAATTGTATTATTATTATTATAGTTTTATTTATTTGTGATGTTTTTCGTTGTTGTTTTATAAATGCTCAATGACAATTGTTTAAAAAATGTTTAATCAAAACATCATGTTTTTTTTTTTTTTTTTTTGGTCAAATAATCGTTGCGCAGGACTCGACTTTGGTCGACTAAGGATTTCTTTGGTTGAATACAGCCCTACACATTAGCCCCACACTAACACAGTAACATAATGAGGGTCCCTGTATGCAAAACAAAGCATTGGGAACTTTTACAGACCATTTAACAAGAAGATACTTTAAAAAGACAGTCCACTTCGCGTATACAGGCAGGAGCCATCTTGACGACAATGTGGGGACCCTCATTATGTTACTGTGTTAGTGTGGGGCTATTTTGAGCCTTGTTAGTGGTATTAGTGATTTCACTTTACTTATTGTATGCCCCCGTTTACAGTTTTTAGAGATAAAATTCTTTACATTCGATTATCATGAAAATAAATCTCAGAGAACAGCCGACTAGGAACCTATGTGTTATTAGACCAAAGATTCATTTTGCGCTGGAGTTGACCTTTAATACGCAAAGACAATTAATGTGTCCACACACGTTCACTCCAGTTTGTGTGATGAGAGTTTACTGCGTGTGTATTGTAGATCAGAGCTGGTGAACCTGCTGCCATAATCTCCCGTGAGCTTTCCGAGCAGACCAAGGGCCACATGCATGCAGGGGACATCACATACACCGTACGGGCCATGGGTCACCTCATCGACCTGCTGGACATCCAGCTCCGAAATCTCACCCCTGGGGGAAAAGACAGCGCCGCCCGGAGCCTCAACAAGGTACTGTGTGTATCATACAACAGTAAAATATCAAATAAACTCAACATTTATCAGTCAAATGTCAAGTCAAGTCAAATTTATTTCTATTATGCTTTCAAGAAATCAACATATATGCTTGTGGTTGCCTACATTTCTCAACACTGCAAAACACGTTGTAAAAAGAAAACCTGTGACACTCTCCATAGCGCAAACATGCAGGGGTGGAGGAAGTACTGAATCTCAGTACTTAAGTAAAAGTACAAATAAGCACATAAAATGTTTACTTTAGTAAAAGTAGAAGTAACACAATGACAAACATACTTAAGTAAAAAGTAAAAAGTACCTGATTTTAAATGTACTTTAAGTATTAAAAGTAAAAGTACTTGCATAACAATTATTCTCTTAATGTCTATTTTCTAATGATTAATAAAACATTTAATTCTAACTCATTCAACCTAATACTCCTATAATGATGTTCAATAATTATGGAAAAAAAATAGTTGTCACCATTTCTGAAACAAGCTTGCAATTAGGCAATATACACATCATGGTTATCCTTACTATATATTAAAGAGTAACTAAACCCCTGGTTTTTTTAATACCAGGGGCTGCCAAGGGCGTGGTGAGCTCGCACCAAGGGTGTGACAGAGTCGCGTCTGAGAGTTCGCTACGTCAGCAAGTACCCCTACTGCAGGAGCTTTCCGTTTAACCTGAAGAGGGCAGCACTCAGACGTTTTTACACCATATATTTGAAAATCAAAACACTTTATACTCAATTGTCAAAAAATGTACTCGAATCAATGAACAGCATTTATGAGGCTCCATTCTTACAGATCATTAACTAAAAAAAGTTGTTTTGGTGTTTAGTTACCCTTTAATAACTATGTTTGGCAGTAAACGCAATTAATTTATGGTGTAATTCTGAACCTCTTGGCTTGCCATAATCCTAACGTAAACGTATATTACACACGGTGCGTTTCCTATGCACGTAAAAACTAATTTCCGCGTATAAATTGCATGATAAACACAATGTGTGCGAGACCCATTTAGTTTGACCGGGTTGATATATCTATATGGTAACCAAACCGTCCAAACGTCACTGGTGAGACAAACGTGCAACTGATGGACGGTCAGATTACGTTTTGGCAGGGGAAAAACTGATCAGAAAATGTAATGAAAATGTAACAGAAGTTAGTAGTGGAGTAGAAAGTATAATAATTGCTGCAAAATGTAACGAAGTAAAAGTAAAAAGTATGCACTATTTATTCTACTTAAGTAAAGTACGTGAAAAATGTACTTAAGTAAAGTAACAAAGTATTTGTACTTCGTTACATTCCACCACTGCAAACATGTATATCTCGTGAGTATACTATATGTATGTGGATGAAGTTGGAAATAATATACAACTTTATATGAAGAGCTGTGCGATAATACAGTTTACATTTGAAATGTTAATTTGGATTCAACATGAACACTAGTCTTTCTGGTCCAAATTATTGATTGTAGGCATAGCATATGAAATTTAACATATAGAAAGAGAAAGTCTGGACAACAATACATTTTTTATTTTGTTTTTATGTGGCATATAGCAATTGATGATTGATGACAACAATACACTGGCGTTCAACAAAGTGGTGGTTTCTAAAAAAAAATGGTTGTGCAAAAAAAAAAAGTGTAAACGTGTGAAGTCTTTGAGGAACATATGTCCATTCCGGACTGATTATTTCACGGACAAACAAGGCAGAATAGTAATGGATGCGCAGTTTGTCAGTACATTATCACAAAAATAAACCCTGACTGGGTGATCGAGACCCTGGTGCAAAGCTTATTACACAGCTACTTACCAGATAAATAAATAAAGGGGCATGAAATATTGATCTGAGTCGAAATTATTCTGTTATGTGAGAAGAAAAAGAGCACAGAGTTTGCAGTAGCAATAAATACAATCTCTGCTTCATGTTGGAGTCCTGATCAATCTGTCCGTATTTATGACTTGCATTATCCCGCTTATTATACAGCTACTTAAAGGTGCACTCAGACATGTTCTTCTCATTAGTGAAAGAAGCAACTTTGGTTCTCTTATTTGTAAAACAGTGAAAACATACAAAACTCTAAGGCTTCATTTACATTGCAGATGCCCAATTCCCAATTGACTATATCCGATTTTTTTTTTTTTTTGAAGACCAGCTTACATCTTCTTTTCAAAGTGATTTTTACCCAAGGTAAAAGCTTAGGCCAAACAAGAATTAAAATGGCGTGATCTTCTACAATGGACGCAGATGAAATGATAATACAAGCTTTTTCCTGTCCATACTATATTTAAAGGTCACTGTCTCCTTGCCCCAAAGGCGCAAAAGATAAAACTTCAGCATAAATCCACTGGGTTGAGCCTTCGTCCTTCATTGCGCCATTGAAAAGAGTCATGTGATGGCTGTTGGTGTCCAACTGACTCGATGTCATTCGCCACTGTCTCTTTTCCCAATGATGTATAAACTCACATTGACAGGGGAATCTGATGTGTCTTCTTACATGGGAGATGCAAATGCATGTATCTGGTACATATCAGATTTATTTCCACATATCAATGAGGCCAGAAACTGATCTGAGAATATCAGAATCCATGTGTGTGTTTTTTTTTTTTTTTTTTTTTTTTCCTGATTCCACGTTTGTGGGTCATATCCAATCTTTACATGACGTATATGGTGTATATGACTTTGTCTTTCAGACGAATAGAATTGTAGATATATTAAAAAATGTCTTGGCTTTTCCAAGCTTTATAATGGCAGTGAATGGAGGATGAGATTTTGAAGCCCAAACAAGCATTTCCATCCATCATAAAAGTTCTCCACACGACTCCAGTGAGTTATAAAGGCCTTCTGAATCGAAGCAATGCATCTGTGTAAGGAAATTATCCATATTTAAAACTTTATAAGCTAAGCTAGCTTATGAATCTCAGCATGATGGATGACGATTAGTCTACTATTCATTTGATGTAAACAATAGGTCTACATAATATTCACATATGAAGTTCATAGGGGACATAATGTATATTTAATAACATTTTTATATCACAGTTCTGACTTGGACTTTATAACTTGCATTTGCAAATTTATACAATTCTGAAAAAAAGAAACACAATTACAGGACATAAACTCGCAAGTCTGAGGAAAGAAGATACGTAATTCTGATTCTTCTTCTCAAAAATGTGAGATATAATCTCAAAATTAGCTTGTTTATTCTTTCATTGTGTGGTTTCTAGACTGCCACTGCAGAAGAATAATTTTCTGCCACCAAGTAGGCTCCGCCCACAAAAACCTCATCACAACACCTTGATGGTGATGTTAGCTTGTTTCTATGCTAATAACAAAATGCACTAAGCAAATATTGCATACAATTGTCCCTTTTAATCAATCGTTTTCAGAATTGAATGAAAATCCAGGTGTTCTCTAGCATATCCAGCCAAAGTGCTGCTAATTTGGCAGAATATCCTTGAAAACTTGCCATTAAGTGCATTTGAATGTCTTTCAAAGACTCAATGCCAAATCTCACAAGCATTGTCAAATACAGTACTTTTCTCTCATTCAGAAATGTACGTTGAATTCAACGTGGCTTCAACTTGTATATTGCGTCATGGTCGACATAAAACAACTTTACCTTGAATAAAATGGGTAAAAGCCAGCCAATCAGATTAGAGCTGGTGAAGTTTGTGCGTTTTACAGGCAAAATGCATCAAACTGTTCTTAGACGTGCCGTCTGAGGCTGAAAATCAAACTAGCTTGATGTATCCGGATTCCATTTAATGTTGTGACACATACACTCTTAGAAGAAATGGTTCTATTTAGAACCAGAAATGGTTCCATCCCCCGCTTCATATATGGAACTCCAAAATGGTTCTATATAGAACCATTTTTTTTTTTGGTAAAAGGTTCTATTAGCCAAGTATGGAACCCCAGGGTTCTATATAGAACCCAGAGGAACCCTTTTTTTAAGAGTGTATAGAACCTTTTAGGGGTTCCAAATACGTAGCGCTGATAGAACCTTATAAGGTTCTATATAGAACCTTTTCTTCTAAGAGTGTAGTCTAGACCAGCTTAGACGTGACAATGCTTTGGAAAAGCTAATCATAACTTATTGTTATTATTACTTTTTTTTTTTTACTTTACCAGAAGATAAAGAAAAAAATAAATTGACTGAAAAAGTGAGCAAGATAAAGCGTGAAAGCGTATGGAGAGCAGAAGGAGGAGAGCAGTGGGTGTTTTTTTTAATGATGTCCGTGTTTGTCAGGATGAATGATCCCCTGTGTTTCTCCTCGCAGTCAGCCGTCCGTTTAAAAATAGGTTTTACTCGGGTGAAGAAAAACTTTCACCATCCTGAGCCTGCAATCGCTCTGAGGACATTATGCGGCATGAATAATCACACCGTTATTAAAGTTTCCGTGGAGTTAAAGAGGTTCGCTTTGACGTTATTTTCTCCAGACCTGCGTACTTGCTTGTCGTCACACGCTGACGTCTAGATCAGACACTCAACGAACAAAGACGATTTATTTAGACATTGTATGCGAGGGCAGGTGTCTACTAATATTACTCAGGGTCCTAAATTAACAATCCCAATTTGGTTTCAGTGGGAAAATGAAATATAAGGCGATAACTTTAGGAATTGCAACATTTGCAACCATGAAATTAATTAAAATGTGCCAACCCTAATCATATTATTTGAAGGCCCTTTATGCAAGCAAGTGCTCAAGTTACAAAAGACCAACTCAAATACAAATATACAGTACTCTTCAAACAAACAAGTGTATGATAGGGCTTAAAACACATGAAGTGACCAGGCCCCTATTGTCAGAATTGCCATTATTTTCTGTAAAATAACCGAAATATAATTAAATTGTTTGCGTTTGCATACACTTTTATCCAAAATGACTAGGTTGCACTAAATGCATTGGTCAGTCCATGCATTTCTTCATGGAATCAAACCCAAGACCTTGGTGCTTCTAGCGGCAGGTTGTGTCTGCGCTACAGGAACGCTCAAAATTAATTAATTTGGCTTTTAAAATTGTAATTTTCAGATTTGGAAGCCCAGCCGTGGAACACAATCACCTGTTTTAACGCATCCTCTGCGAAATTCACACTTTCTATCCACCCACATTTCTGCACACTTTACTTTCCACAGCAGCAGTGATCAGTGAGCGTCACACTCACACCTTTTGACGGAGGCCGTCACACTCCCCGTGCCTTCATGCTAATTAATCTAAGCGGTAATTTTAAACCCAATCTGCCTTTGAATTTCACAGCTGGTTGATTTAAGCTGCTGTGAATGCAGAGTTTGAGCGTCAGACTCAACCAACATGCTTCAATACAGAGATCACTGATTTAAAACATATCAGCTCTCTTCAAAATCTAGTGAGCCATCTATTGGCATTACGTCTTTTTACGTCTAAAATCCATCCGCATAAGTGAGGGACATGTGCAACATTAGCAGTTACATAATTACATGCATCTATTCGTATTGATACTTTTCAGTGTTGAATTCAGTGTTAAATTTGTATTTTTATATATTATTGTAGTGTTTATTTATATTTTGAATTAACTTATATTTTTATATTTTCAATTTTCATTTGAGTTTGTTTTGATCATTTTTGTTGTATGATTGTCATTTTTTTATATTGTTATTTAGCATTTATTTATTTTATTTTGGTTTTAGTTTTAGTAATTTTAGTACTTATACTTCATTTTCTTTTTTTACCTTTTTTTACAATTTATTTAAACTGTTCAATGTTGATATCAGTGACATTTTAGTATTATTTATATACAAATATGGTGTTTTTGTATTTTCAGTTTTCATTTGAATTTCAGTTTGTTTTTAGTAATTTTGTTATATGATTATGTCAGTTGTATTATCGTTTATTATTATTTTTATTTAGTTAACTTATTTTTTATTTCAGTTTCAGTTTAGCAATGTAATGCATTTGGTAATTTTAGCATTTCAATTTATTTCACTTCAATTAGTTACCAAGGCAATTTCTTCATCTTATATTTATTTCAGATTATTTACAAAATGATTTTCATAGTTTGAGTTAACAATAACAACACTGATTCAAATGACACATGCATTTATAATCGTTCTCCATGTTCAAAATAGCATACTAACACACTACTCTTGCTATTTCTGCAGTAAGCGATTGAAATCATGCCAAATGTTTGTACTAACTACTAAATTAGCGAAAGAAACTGCCAAAAATCTTATTGCAAGGCATTTGACTTGACCTTTTCATGCGACACGCATCTCCTTGACTCGTTATTTGTTTGTCCTGCCATATTTATTTCCAAAATACTAGCTGGATGTCACTCACTGGATTACTGTAGTTATCATATGAGAAGAGTGCAGGCAGGTATCCATTACTTTCATGTGCTTCTCAGATTGCAAAGACACGGACGTACTGTCAGAAACGCCGCGCCTAAATGTTTTGAGACCCGTCAGTCGAGAATCCCTTGATTTTGCGACTTTGGGCCGAGCCAAAGAGCTTTGAAACACTAAAGGCAAGATCAAGATATTTTACAGAGTGGGGAACCTGAAGAGGAGGTTCGCTAAAGACTGAAAGTAATGTGCTGATCTGCAGGAGAGCTGTGATCTCAGACAGGTGCTGCTAAAGATGGCTGCCGTCACACAGAATCATCCCGCATTAATATTCGGGCACCAGCAGAGATGGGACGACAAACCTGCCTGCTATTTATTTTTATCTGTTTCCATTCCTCGCTCTTCCTCTGTGAGACTCAATAATTCATGGACTACAAACAGACACACACACACGTTCATCTCAGGCCTCGCTGCTCTTTACTCGTACGAGACGAGTTGGTGCGCAATCACAACTACAATCAGAAGCTGTCAAACTGAAGGCCCAGTTCTTCAAGACGCCTTAAACCAGATTAAAAACCATTTACCCTGTCTAAGTGTAAAAACATGGAATGTTGGGATTAGGAATGAGCTTGGTTTGCTTGAGTCTTGCTCTCATTGGTGACAGTGTCTTTTTTTATTTTTATTTTTATTCACTAGCGTTCAAAACTTTGGGGTCTGTAAGACCAGTTAATATTTTTGACTGAACTGTGAATTTATTTGATCAAATATACACATGTACTATTATTACAATTTTAAATGACTTTTCTATGTGAATATATTTAAAAATGTCATTTAAAGCTGCATTTTTATTATCATTACTCTAAAGTCTTCAGAGTCACATGATCCTTCAGAAATCATTCTAATATGCTGATTGGCTGCCCAAGGAACTGATTATTATAAGTGTTGTCCAGCAGTTGTACTGCTTCATATTTCTGTGTAAATTGTAAAAAAAAATACTTTTTATAAGGATTATTTGATTAATAAAAGTTAAAAAGAAAAGCATTTATTTGAAATATTTTGTTTCTTTACTGTCACTTTTGATCAATTTAATGCATGAATAAAAAGGACTCCAGACTTTTGAATCTTAGAGTAATGTGTATTTTTGATAATCTAGTGAAATAAATATTTATAAATATAATAAAATATTATAAAAGGTAATTTTAATTGGTGATCATTTATTTTTTTTATTTTTATCTTTTAGAGCTTGCTGAAGATAGAATTATTTATAATTAAAAAAAGTGTTGCGTTACGATTTTAATGACAAGCGATTTGTCTCTCCACGCCAGACACAACACGACAACCACAAATCTCAGCCAATTAGAAGAGAGTGTGGGCGGGCTCTGTCTGCAAGCTTATGGAGAAGTACATAATTAAATTTTTAAAATTTTAAAATGACTCAAAATACATATTCAATGACTGGTGCAATCTTTGTCATGCAATACACTTATTTGTTAAAAACGTTCTGAAGATTTAAGGAAAATTATCAGTTGTATCTTTTTTTGTATCATTATGACTAGTAAGGTCATTTAAAGGGATATTCATATTCACATTAAACCATTTTAATATTATTATACATTTAATATTATTATTATATATGTTGCATAAATAGATGACTGTAGACGTCTGGTTGCACCGTATCTATAATGCATAATGTATATAGAATGCACCAAACGAAAATGTCACATTATGAAAGTAAGATGTGTTGCAAATGCCATTTGATGTTGACTTTAGCTAGTAATTTTTGTTTAAGAAAAAGATTTTGTTTTTGTCCTACAGTGTGCGACACTCTTGAGCTGGCCATTTCTGACACATTGAAAGTTTTTGGATCTTTCTCATACATGCAAAAGTGGATTAACCTTTCCTCTGAGCTCAGTAGGATGTGATTTATGTAAATGATGTGCTTTCAAATCCTCTCTCACACCAAATGACACTTTAAATAGACCAGAATAGAAATAGATTCCCATGGAGCAATTCACAATGGGGACGGACATTCACTTTGTACACAGATTCTGTATTCCTTAAACTTAAAATGCACTTTAAATAATACAGAAATGTGCATTAGATTTGCATCAACTATGCAACAGAATTTAGTGATTATTTGCTTTGTGTTTGGTGTGAAAGTCCTTGAGAGTGTCACATTTTCTGCTTGATACTTAACCAACTCGTTTTCTTTGGGTTTTCAGCTGCAGAAAAGGGAGCGTTCGTGTCGATATTTTGTCCAGGTATTTTTCCTCTTTATATTTATACCACTTTCATCACATCTGCCGTGGCTTCCATCACTGTGTGTGTGTGTTTGAGCTCATGCATTTTTCTTCATTTGCACTTAAGCCTCGTTCCCCATGTTTTTGTAAGGTCATATTGTTGTCAAATGAGGCCTTGACGTATTATTAACTTCACTTCTACAAATTACCCATAATAATCAACACGCTTTTAAACACTTCTGTTTGAAAAAAAATACACTTGTAGCATACTTTAAATTAATATTCTTAACACTCTGACACTTAATTGCATGTTAATTGCAGTTAATTAAAAAAAATTAGTTTAAATTTATATTAAATACAGTTATTGACATTTAGAGTGAATTTGTGACATTTAAGTAGGACTGAAATTACATACACACATTTTATATATATATATATATGTGTGTGTGTGTGTGTGTGAATTTATAATTACTTTTATTTTCTTTTAAATATGATTAGTGAACAGCAGAATACACAGCACTGATGGAACTAAAATCTATTTTAATGTAATTTATATTTAAACATATATGTCATGTATTTAAATATAGATTTTACCTTTACATTTTTGAAGACGAAGTTAAAAGTTAGTGCATTTAAAATATATTAACTGTAAAATATATTGAAAAGCACACTACAGCTAAAATTGTTATAATCAAGTGCTTTACTATGTTAGTCAACACATCAAAATAAGTGTACTTCTTTAAAGCACCACAAAAGATTATTAAAACATAATGATTTCAAATGTACTTTAAAGTAAAATGTATGTAAAGTGCAGTTTTTAAGTGTTCCCTAGTGAAAAAAGTATACTTTATTGTATTTGAAATATATATACCTTTTTCAGTAGTACATTGCAAATGTACTTACAAATATTTTTATATCTTTATTTATATTAAAATATTTCAATATATTTTAGCTAACTAATTGCTAAAAGTTTGCTAGACACCCGTAATGAATTTGTTTGTACTTTTAACACAAATAAAATACACTTTAATATCCACACAGGCATATACTTCAAATATACTAAGTGTATTTGACATTGGTCCAATTTAGTACACTAAATACAACTAAAATAAACTTAGTACGAAATTAGTTGTTTCAAATTAGCACACTACAAGTTAACTAATCATTAACACACTTGAAGTATTCTGGTAATTAGTCTGTCTGGAAGTATGCTTAGCATACTTATTTTTCACCATGGTAATTAAAGGGATTATTCACCCAAAAATTTAAATATTGTCATCATTTACTCACCCTGAAGTTGTTCCAAACCTGTATGAGTTTCTTTCTTGCTGAAAATAAAATAAGATATTTTGATTTTTCGTCCTCCATACTATGGAAGTCAATGGGGCCCATCAACTGTATGGTTACCCATATTCTTCAATATTATCTTCCTCTGTGTCCAGCAGAGGAAAGAAATTCATACAGGTTTGGAACAACTTGACAGATCTTTCATTTCTTGGGTGAACTATCGTTAAAAAAACACAGTCATGAAAGTAGACTCTCTTAAAGTGCACTTAAGTGGCCTTTTATTTCCTTAATATTATATTATCTGCAAGTACAGTTGTTAATGTACTTTTAAAATTCGAAGTAACCAACAAGTATACATTCAATACAATTAAGCAAACTTAATCAACAATTATCTGTCAACTACTAATCTGAATGCTTCACGGCCTCAGTTTGTGGGTTTTATTTTTAATTATTTTATTGCATCAACGAGAGCTGCTGTGCTTACTGTCACTAACTAATTTAAATTTAAGGTCACTTTTTAAGTTATAGGTTAGAATTAACTCTTTTTAACTTGAATAATAATAATAATAATAATTGTAAATGTTTCTTGAGTAGCTCATCAGTAGTATATGATTTCTGAAGGATCATGTGACACTGAAGACTAAAGTAATGATTCAGCTTTAACATCACAGGAATAAATTGCATTTGTAAATATATTACAATATAGAAAAACAAGTTATTTTATAACTGAATTAGGGTTTCAGAGAGCACAGCTGGTCTCAGATCAAGTCGCCTGCAGCTTTTTGCTTGGGCTTTGCTGCTGTCTGCACCCCCGTCAGGTCATGTGATTGTCAACTTTCCCAGCATGCACTTGACTTGCACTTGAGCAGCTATCTTGAGGCGAGCGCAGGCGATGCTTTTCTGTGTTAGTTCAGATGTCAGAGATCATGATGCTACGGAAGATGCTGCTTACTTCTTCTTTATGACTTAGTAATGCTGCGTTCACATTAGAGCTTGTATTTTAAATCCAAATCTGTATGGTGGACTGTGACTAAGTATGACTTGTGGAAGTGATGGTGTAAAATTTAGTGGTGTCCCATTATTTACAAGCATTTTCAAGCCAATAATGTGCAGGTATGACCTCTCCAATCTCATTTGCCAATGTGTGTGCAAGCGTGACCTGGAATTATACAATGTTTTTAGCAAAGTCAGTATGCCATGGCACTCTGTGAGGGTTATTTAACTTGAACTCAGTGGGCTCTATCTTGCACCCGGCACACTGGCGCATGTCTCATTCCTATTTTGCAACCGCGCAAAGCGGGCTTTTTTCCTCCACAGACGCACGTCGGTAAACTAGGAAATATACTTGCGCTCCCTGGGCAGATCGGCGCAAAAAGGAGGCGTGTTTCAGTGCCAACATTCCCTAGTGCAATTTTGCAGTTCCAGAAAACAATTGCACCACTGACCAGAAAAATCCTAGTCTAAAGTCAGTTGCGCGTTGTTCATAATGCTATTTTAAGCGCGCATGCTTGGCCATAATGTAGCGGGTGCACAACGCGCATACACTTTGATTTTCTCAACAACAAAGATGCAGCAGTTTTTATTTTTGCAAATCATACATTATAACTAGGGTTGGGTATCGTTTGAATTTGAACGATTCCGATTCCGATTCCTTGTTTCGATTCCGGTTCCTAACGATTCTCGATTCCGATTCTTTTAAGAGAAAGGGGCAAAAAAGTTTAGCTAACCTTGCTAACCAACGGCCTTTCTGAAGGAAATACTCCTTCTGTAAAAATACTCCTTCTGCATTTTGCCGAGATTTCGTTATTTTTAGAAAAGCGAAGCCACACTTTGGATCGCCGACGTAAGGTACTCATGTTCGACTCATGCCAACACTTCCGGTAGACGCTTCTTCGTTGGTGTTGTTCAGCGGTTTCTTCTTCCGCTCGGCGGACTGTGAATATCGAAACTAGGAATCGAAATTTTAACTTTTGAACGATTCCGGGAAAAACGAAAAGTTAGTCTCGGTTCCAATCGATACTCGATTCTCGATACCCAACCCTAATTATAACAAGGAAAAATATTAACACATGAGGTAAATCATTGTGGTTTACATGAAGATGGAAAAAAAAAACACAATTACCCATATTTTTTAAAGCTAATTGTAGTACTGATCAGACATGTTTGCCCAATAGTGGCAAGAAACATATGTTTATAATGTTTAACCGACTCTAATTTGGGTGGTTTCTCCTATCCCCGTACAACGTCACTTCTCTGTCTTGCACTGCCCTGACAAGAACGTCGGTCTCATCGGCTGTGAACCGCTCCTTGCACGCGCTTGGTAAACCAGCCATTATAATAACAATCCGCCATGCAACATGCGCACCTGCTCTTAAAGGGTATATGTTGGATGACGCTCTGATTGGTTTATTTCACGTTACACCCAAACCACACCTTTGAATAATGAGGCTACTTCTGACCAACCCCTTCTAAACTTGCGTCTGGCGCAAGTGTCATTTATCCCGCCAGGTAAAGTAGCAACAGCACCCAAGACCCACCCACAAAGTTGCTTGCACTTTGCGCTTGATACTTGCGTTTCAGATCATTAAAATAGGGCCCAGTTTGTTTTGTAAAGTAATTTTCAAAATAGTGACAAAAAGCCACATCTACTGCAATATTTAGTTGTACATATGCTGTCATAAAGTTTGTGGAGAGTACTAAGAATAAATGAATACTTTTATTCAGCAAGGACACATTCAATTGATCAAAGTCATTTATGATGTTACAAAATATTTCTATTTCAAATAAACAAAACGTCTCAGGTTATGACCGTAAACCTGGTAACCCTTGAGCCTTTAACCTGAGACGTTCCCTTTCAAGGGAACTCAAGCTGCGTCGAGACGCTGTGGTAACACTACACCCAGGACGCCAGAGTAACAAGTGCTTGTCTGTGTAAAATCTCTGCGCACACCAAGACGAAAGCAATGGGACCATGTAAAATATTATTTTTGTGTACATAAAGATATGGTGGAATCGGCTTGTCCCCTAAATGGTCTGCTAGCTCGCTTTAATCTCTCGCACGAGCAGATCCGTTTCCTCTTTGGAATCCTCCTCTATCAAATTTTGTCATGTAAATAGCGAATCTGCCATGCTGCGATTGGAACTGGCATTTAAAGGGAATGGGAGATGAAACTCTGATTGGTTTATTGCACGTTGCCCTCAAAACGCACCCATTACTCAGTAAGAGAATAGAGACAACCCTTTTAGACCATGCACCGGGCACGCAGATCATTTTTTCCGTCAAAACTAAACTAGCAAAAGTAGATAAGGACACGACCAAACTGAACTTGCGCCGTGCGCTTTAGACCATGCAATTAGATCGTTAAAATAGGGCCCATAAAGTCCAATTCTAAGGAAAAAAAGACTGACAATTTAACTGATAAAAAGTTAGAATGGAGAGATGTAAACTTACAATTGTGAGAGGAAAAAAGCCGCAACTACCTTTTTTTTATTTTTATTTTTTCTGTGGTGGAAACAAGCTTTCATATACAGTATGTTCAGCGAGTGAAAATATAGTTTCTGCCAGTCCTTCCAGAAAAACACGTTTTTTTGTGATTGTTGCGGGCAAAAATCCTTGATTATGCGGCCCGTTTTCTTTAAAAATGCGATGGAATATGCGGGATATTTATGCAATTTTATGCGATGAAATTGCGGGAACTTGTAAAAATTGAGGGAACTTGCAAAAACTGTGGTTT